CCTGTCTCGGGGAAGTTATACCCCTGAGGCTTGGTCAGAAAACAGGGCAAAGTTTTCAGAGTGTCTGGGCAGAGGTGGTGCTGCCAGGTGCTGCTTTAACATGGAGCTTCTTCTTAGAGACAAATGATTACTGCTCCTCTAAGGAGCAGGCAGCAAGGGGTAGCTGTTGGCACTGAATGAACCTTGAAATGTTACAATCGTAACATTACAGAAGAACAAGGTCAGGAATTTTAGCCAGGATTCCTAGGTAAAGGAGGTTTACACAGTTGTGTTGCCCTTGTCTGTTGGTTTCCCTGGGTTCCTCAGTAACTTCAGAAGCTGTAGGACAGTTTCAGGTAAATTTTACGGAATTCGAAAGCCTTAAAGGTGCTTTGTTCCCACTGAAAATGAATAGGTGGATAAAGACCCGTGAATTGCTCCACAGAAGGGAAGTCTTTGACAGGAGTTCAGTTGTGTTCTTAGTGACAAACCCACAAGGGAGAAATTTTGAATGCCCCAAGCACAAGAGAAAAGGCGGTTAGAGCTCGTATCTTAGTTGATAATAGGATAACAGAAACATGAGACAAAAAGCTGCAGGTAAATAATGAAGAACATTTCACTCCCTGGGGAACTATTTGGGCCTTTTAAAGGTTTGATGGATCATTTGTATTATTAAAGCTAGAGCTGGGATGCTTTCAGTTACAAACTCACATGCGTAACTACGGTGATTGCACAGATAATGAGTAGTGACTTAGTAACACCAAATCTGATGTCTTCCTGATTTCCCTCTGAAAACAGTCAATCAACAGACAACCTAAACCAACCAACTAAAAAAAATCCACCACACCAAAACAAATATTTGTCTTGGTGAAGTTAGTTTTGTGCAAAGATGTTAAACCAATAGCTTAGCTTGTCTGTCCCTAGTCAGAGTTCAATTTCTAGAGATACATTCAGCAGTCTTCCTCTTCTGTTTTTATTTCAATTGCTGATGATGGAACAATGCCTTCAACTATATTGTTGGAGGTACTTATTTTTTATTTTGAATAAGTGATGGAAATCATTTCTCTCTTAAACTAGTTGAAACAGTGGCTGTTCCTATGAATTCAATGCACAGAACTGCCTACGGGAGACTTGCAGATCAGAGAGGATATAGTTATGAAACGTTAAAACTGACTGTAATATCCAAGTCAGAAAGTGTCAATGAACCTCTGGTGCTGGCAATGCAGGAGCTCCCAGAGCTGTGTGGTTTTGTGTCTTGCTTTGGAGCTGAGAATGGAGGAAATCCCTCCTCTTTTGAGAGTGCCAAAGAGATAATTTTGATGGATCTTAAAGTTAACAGGAGTGAATATTTGCAAGGAAGTAAGATGTTCAGCTTCTCATGTTGCTTGACAAAACACAAGAGGATTTTTTTAGATATCCTTACTTAATTCAGTGGTATCATGATTTCCATATACTTACTCTGAGGATAGGACAGGTATTGATCTCTGACTCCCAATTTACTAAATCATGCTTTCATAGCTATCAAAGCTTGTAAAGTTGATGATCCTGTTTTGACAACAGCAGTGAACACAGCAGTTATAGCTTGAAAAAAAAATTACATCCAGCCATGAAGACACAACATAAACACTGTTGTCCAGACCTGTGGAGAGAGCAGGACTGTGTGAGCAATTTATCCTGCATTTCTGTAGGCCTTGCCTTGACCTAGCCGGGCACAGACAGTGTAAAAAGTGCACAGTCATCATGGCTTCAGGTTCTGAAGCTGAAACAAAAAAGGATTTGTGCCAAAATTAAGGAGGAGTCCGAAGAGGTAAACTATGTCCTCACCTCGCGTGGACACCTGCAATAATCCAGTTAGAAGTGGTCAATAGGGCATGTTTAGACCATGAACACTTTCATGTAACCAATAATGTAAAAGTGATCACACGCTGGGGTGTAGAAAAAGTACTTAAAGGGCAACTTTTTGTAAATAAAGCGGACATTTTGCAGATCATATTGGTCGTGTGCAGTCTGTCTCTGAACCCCTCTGTCAACACAGACCTAAGAGTTTAACCTGGTTTTAGGTGTTTTCTGGTATTTGCAGTAACAAATTGCAATAATTCCACTGAATAATTTACAAAACACTTGAAATATATCTAAAATACAAGAATAGCTGTCATTAGAATAGGGGGATTAAGAGTCAAGGGAGCTGACTTCCATATCTAATATTGAAGCACAGGGAACTAGTGGTGGTCTTACCATATTCATAAAACCAGAACACTTTTTACTGCTGGGCAAACACTGGGGAAAAGGTTCTCTTCAGTTAACATAATGCCATTTATATTGCCACAGATATGACCAAGCTGACAAGATTACTTTGTGCTGGTTTGGTATGCATACTTTGACTTCATGTTAACTTACTGTGCTTTCTGGGCATTGCTATCTGGCAGGATGGCAGCCAACCAGGCAGCTCTGCTACAGTCATACTGTATACAATCATACTCTGCATACAGTCATGCTGTAGCAATGAAATGGTGCTCACTGTGTTACCTACAGACATACAAGTGGTTATATAGGGTCGCATAAGAAAGTGCTTCATTGGGTAGACAGAGCAATGGTGACACCTCTACTTGCCGCTTGGGCCTTAGCAAAGGGCTGCTGAAAAACTACTAAGTGCTCCCCAGCCTCTGAGGAATAGAGGGAGGAGATGGTGTGCAGAAAGTCTTTGAGACAGGAGCAGGGAGTGATAAGAGTCCCTGGTTTTGGGGTGTGTGGTTTGCAGATTCACTACCAAGATAACTGTATCAGAAGCCAGAATGTATTTGCATGTTTTACTTGACCTAGGAATTGAACATGGGAGGTTCTACTTTAGATGGTCAGATAATGTGGGTGTGCATGTGATTGTGAGTTCACTACCTGTTGTCACTTGTAAGTCAGTGATATCTCTGGTGGTGTACCTTCACTAATATGAACAAGTTATGGTTTACTGGAATGGTTTTGCAGGTGGTAGTGAATGTACCATTTGCTGCAGAGATAAGATTTGAACTTCTTTTTGTTATTGTGCTACCTGGTCCTCCTCTGAGTCAGATGGATGCTCTAGATAAAAAAAAAAAAAGCCTATTCTTATCTGAGTTGTGGCTTCCTTGATTAGTATATCAGGGGAGCTGATGAAGTAATGACTTACATATCTGAATTCTAGTGAGGCAGGTGCTGTCTGCCTAATATGTACCAAATGCCCCAGTGTCAACAGTGAGGGCGAATGATGTAATGCCACTTTACATCCACAACCGTCCCGAGATCATGAACTCACTTCTAATGATCAGTTTGAAATAGTACTTTGTCATTACTATTCCATGAACAGATTTGCTAGTTAACTAGTTAACTAATCCCTTGGGCATGGTAAGGAGATTAGGGCAGCTCTTGCTGGTAGAGCCTTTGTTGGGCCAAAAACATAAAATCAGATGTTTTGGCCGTGCTGCTAGTGGTATCTAACCTCGTAGTCATTTTTAACCATCTGTAGAATGATCATCTGAAAACCCAGTGCAGGTGCAAAGATTGCAGCAGGAGAAAGGAGTGGGAGGCAGTAAGCCGATAGGAAGGGAGTTTTGGCATGGAATCCCATGTGCCACTTAAATCTTTAGTCACGTCTTTCAAGTTCTTTTAGCTGTTACTGCGAACGATAGGTTTGGGAGGCCTCAGAATTCTCTAGCCTTTCATGAGTAACTTGGGTAATTCTTTTAGGAAATGTTATGCTATTTTGAAGTAGTAAAATTCTGCAGAGATGGATATAAGTGAGTCCATACAGATAACTGTGGTAAATTTCATGGATTTAGGAAAGAATTTGCCTCTCTCCTCTCCCTGCTCTGTGTTTATATAGCTCGGTAGGTCTTTAGGTAGGGTGGAAAATTAATTTTCCCTCCTTCTCCCCCCTTTCCTCCCCTTGCTACTATTACCTTCTTGCTATTATTTATTTGAAGAACATCTGTATTATAAGAAACACAGTTGTTACTGCTCTTTATCCTGTAACATGAAAATAATGAATCAGAATGTAAAGCAATATTATATTTCGTAGTTTTGGGGTTAGTTGTTGAGTTTTTTAATGTATCAGGTTATTTAATCAGAGGCATGGAGCCTTCTTCTAAGCTAAGTACACATTGTTTCTCTGCTACTGAAATATCAGTGCTAAGTAATTGCTGAAATATTTTTCGTTTTTCTTTTTATCTTCCCTTGGCCTTCACTGACTTTGAAGTTTGGTTCAGGTCAATTTGTACATTCATCTTTTAAAGTATCTGAAGTGATAACCTCAGCTTGTCCTGAAAGCTTACGTTTCTGTCCAACTATAATTGGACTAAAAAGCTCTTCATGGTCTGTACCAAAATTATTAGAGATACGAGTGATTTGGTTTTAATGAAAAATAAGGGACCGCATCCAGCACTGCACAGACTTTGGAAGAATATATCTTAGGGGAAAAACAGCTCTTGGATTTTTGCTGCAACTCTCACTGGTCAGTTTGCTTTCTAACAAAATCTGATTTATGGATATGAAAACAGGACCCTTGAAAGCTGCCTGTCCAGTGAGAATAATTCATTAATTAGCACTTCTTCACTCGAGATTGTGAGCAGTATAACCTTATGTCCTAGAATTTCCTTTTTGTCCCCGGAGAGTCTAATCTGTATAACACATCTACGTCTCCACATATGGTTATATGCACCAGGGTAAAAAAGGTGTTATAAATACAAAATTATATATTTTGCAAAGATTTATGTTTCCTGCATCAGCATCAGAATCTCTGTTTGGCAGATTTCTATCATCATTCTGCTGGAGAATTTTGCACTCTCCAAAATGTAGAGTGCATTAAGACGTTAATTTTGAATTATGAGCTGTTTTCCCCAAATAAATGTTTAGGTACCTTAGAGAACAGCCATGGTGGGACGGTTTTTGTTCAGCCTCAGAACTGCTGAACTGCAAACTCAGAAAAACTGACCCTTGAAGTGGAGAGCTCTGGATTTTTATTTTTAATTTTTATGTTTTGCTTTGTTTTACAGAAGGGAACCAGCATGGCTGACAGGCGTGCTGCTTCTCAGCAGAAGCACATAACAAATGGAGGGGGAGCCTGCCTGGCCAAGAGGCAGGTGGGAGGCAGACTTGTATTCTCTGTGAACAGGGGCACTTGAGGAGACAAGAAGCAGGAAAATATTTAACTGGCTTGAAACACTGACAAAACGTGGACTTCTATGGAGGCAAGGCCAAGCTTTACAGGACTCTGGGACTCTGCAATGCTTCTTAATAATAAAACAACTGGTTGAGAAATTCCTTTGCTGAACCTAAGTACCACATGTTTTAGGTTGGGGGGCGGTTTTTGTGTATGTGCAATAGTACCTGTAGGTGTTGAACTAGAATTACATTTAGGAGGAGTTCTCAGAAAATACAAGATGATAACTGATTGTGAAAGGGGAATCGTGGATATGCAAAGCTGCAGTTCAAAGCTCTGTAATAGCCAGGTCAGGAAGTTCCTCTACATGAGGAACTTGGGCCTGGGTACGAGCAATGTTGATCCAGAGCTAGAAACAGTAACCCAGATGGTTTAAAGATAGTTTGCTTTGGATTCAGCTGACTCTTTTGGGAAGTTAGCTGTCATCCTAGATCTGGGGGCTCTACCTTAGATGTCACCAAAGAATTGTATCAATCTTTGGTTCTGCAGCTCTTAATGGCGTAAATAATCTTGATTTTCAGAATAGCAAAAGTTGTGTTGTCTTCCGCAGCAACTTTTGGGCACTTCTAGTCTTGCTGCATTCATGGAATGAAAACAATATGATGCTGTGGTTCATTGCAAGTTCTCATGTTATTGCTATGTTATTGTGGGCAAGTCGTGATCCTCCTTTAAGAATGGAAGATATAGATACTAATGGGGAAGTTGAATCCAAATGTTAACATTACAGAGCCTATATTTAGGTACTGTGTGTTCTTACTTAGTGCCTTACTAAGAGGGGACATATGTCCTGTGTAATGAGCTCTGAGGAATGCATTGGACCTGTTCCCAATCTGATAGTATTTTATCATGAGGTTAGCATTGATATCAGTGAAAATATTACTCACAATTTTTATCCTTTGAAGCAGAAGAATTAGGTTATTGCATGTGGGAAGACCTTGAAATTGGTTGTAGCCTTCCCTTGTTCTGTGTAGCTTCACCTCTCAGCGATAGTATTGAGATACTGCTGGAGCTTAATTATAAAGCAGCCCTTTCAGTATCTGCTACTAAGATAATGAATTAGCTGCCAAAGCTCAGGTTTGTCAAGAATCACAGCCTTTTTCTCTAATTAACAAAATGCCTTTGCAGTCATAGACATATAAACTCAGTGCTAAAGCATTATGATAAGGCTATAATGATCATACCCCAATTTGCAACAAATGAGTACTTCCTTCATAAACTTTTATTTCACCATTTAAGAAAAAAAAAAAGGTGGGAGGAGAGGATAAAAAGGGAAAATTTTTGCTGAAAATAACTACATTACTTTTTCTGAGAAGTGTTCTTTGTAATAGTCTAGAGTTCAGAGATCTGGGTAAAGGCAACATATTTGAGTTTCTTTCCTCGAAGAGTTATCGTGTGTCAGCTGTGTTGTGGCAACAGCCGCTGCATATGTGCTGCTAGGTTATAGGAAGTGTAAAGTAAAGTGTGTTAGCATGAACCTCCAGGAGAAAGCTTTAAGCTAAATGATTCTGTCTCCTTTTGATAAGCTAAAAGCAACCACCTACTGTGTTGCTGCAGCACCCTGCAAAGTGTCATAATTCAGCCAGGATCCTGAGGTGGAACTGCCCTGCTAAAGGAATTAAAACCTGTAATATTTCTTCTTTGGTGCCAGTATCGTTTGCTTTCAAAACACTGGATTAAATGAAGAAAGTTTGGCTAGATCTAGTTGCCCTGTTAGAAAGAGTGATTATGCAATTTTAAAAGTATTTTGGGACCAGTGCAGTGACTTGAGTTCTTAGTGCTGGTTATCTCTGCATTCACTGAAGTGCAAAGTCTAGCTTTGTAAATGGCATTTGTTTGACTGGGCAGTCAGCCCTGGCTTAATCCCTAACTCTGACTCTGTCCAAGGAAAGCTTGCCCTGAATTTACTCTAAGGAATGAATACATGCAATGATATGCTTGCACTCTACGTCCTGTTTCTTCATTCATACCAAGTGGGAAACTGAACAGTGTGTACACCAACTCCTGCCTGCTGTCCGACATGGAAGGAACAGGCTAGGGAATGCTGAGTCATGTCAGATCTCACCCTGGTTAGGACACAGGTTTTGTGTAGTGTTGCTGGAATGATTTACCCCTTTGCAACCAAATTAAAAATACCACTAAACTGACTGCTATCATCACCCCCTACCCCTCATGTTTATTTGTATCTGCATGTGTTAGTTTACAGAAAGCTGTTTACATTGTGCTTAGTACCATTTCCAGTGCCTTGTGATCAAGTCTCACCCACAGGTCATTTGATGTAAATCAGTGATCCAGGGGCCTGGGTCGAACATGCCTTTGTGCGGCACATCATTTTCTCCTTGATCTGTGACCTAGAGATCATATTGAAAATACCATGATTTTAGAAGAGCTAAAATTGGGTAAAACTGATTTTGATATTTTCCAGAGGAAGAATTAATTGTTTCAGGAGTTTATCTCCAGCATTGCAGGAGAAAGGAAAGTAAAATTAAGGTGATCATTAGAAACTTTTATGTTTTCAGACCATCTTTGCTGGTTTCCTCTGCTCAAATTCAAACACTGTAAGATTCCAGGGAGTTTCAGTTTTGAAGATTTCACCCACATCACTTAGTTAACTCTTTGTCAAGGATTCAGTTTCACATTTGTCTAGGTTACTGTTAAGAAACATGTTCTTTGTCTTCAGTCCACTATACTTTTTTCAGTTTCAGTTCTGACCATTGGGTCCCTCCACCAGTGAGTAAGTTAGCTAGTCTTGCCCTTGCATTCCAAAACTGTTTTGGAAGGATTGCTCTTTTTCCAAGTCACTGTCTTGAGCAGGCTGTGCAAACAGGAGGGAACTGGAACAGCTGTGATTTCCAGTATCATGAGGACTGTTCAAATCCTCTGTAAGATTTTAAGTTATAATCTTTCTCTCCCTGTCATCATTCTCTTCTGGAGTTCTTTCCCCACCACAGTGTGGAAACTTCTTTTAAAAGCTGTGATCTTTAAATATGACAAGTCATTCAGAGGTAATGCCAATCACTAGCTAGAACAAGCATATGCTGCTTAGTCATGAAGTGACACACATCCCAAGAGAATGAATGTTCCAGCTACTAGATTCCTGCATACTCTGTAAGAGAACTCTTCCAGTCTCTTGTAACTAAATATTTATCAAGTCAGAGAGAGAGAATTGCTTCCTCTCTCACTCAGTTATGTTGTCACTGAGTGCAGTTCATTTCTGTGCTTTAAGGGTTGTGTAGTTAGTTATACAAAACTATATAAAGTTATTTAAACAGTTTACCTAATAGAGACTTACCCAACAGCCTGTGTTACACAGAATTACAGACCCCTAGGTTAAATTCCATTTTCAGGACCTGAAACATGATCTTCCGTGGTAGCTGTAAATACTCTAACCACTAAGCTAATATGAGAAGCTAAGTGCCAAACATACAGGAAAAAAGAAATCTTGGTTTGGATTTTGTGAGCACTGTGTATAGCTTAGGGATGTTCAGAGATGACCTGCAGGCTCCAGCTGTCCTGCTGAACATGCTATAGGGAAGAGCCTGGCTGAAGGTTTCTGCTTTGGGACTTCAGGAGTTTTCTTCACTCGGTGCCATACCTATGGAGTGATGCTAGGATAGGTTTGCAGACATCAAATCATGAAAGTGTACCAATACACAGAGTTAGAAAGCAGCTTTTGCAGAAATCTATAGTGCTTATAGTGGTGTTAGTCATCTAATATCACTTGATGCTGTGACTTTTCTTCGTGTTTATATGTTATTAGTGATACAGGAATGGATTAGTTATGTGTGTCCCAGTATTGTCATTTTTGAATGAGAATCAAAAAATGTAAAATGGCCCTTGAAGTATTCATGAAAGTATCTGAGTTTCTTAGGGAATAAACAGATCTAAATAACTATTTGTAGACTTCTAGGTTCTTGTTCCCGAGAAAGATACACTTATTCTTGTTCCTAGATGCTTTTTGGCTCATTTGAAAATGTGACTAGATAAAAGAGTACATTTCAACTATAGATATAATCACAGTAGGCTTGTGGGACACTACCCTACCCTTTCTTCTCCAAAAGGAGTGATTTAACAGTTGAGGTGCTTTCAGGAGCATTTTCATAGACTCTGAAAGTCAGGAAAATACATAGGCTTTGCAGCATGGACAGAAGTTCAGTAAAGCAATTGCTTTATTCTAGTCTTGGCAGGCAGTGTGAAGCTTAGCAACCTTTTGGAGAAAACCACCAGGCAGTATTTGTTTGCTACATAGAGCAATATAACCTGATAGATCCAAGAGCTGCACCAAATTCTCTAGAGAAAAAACAACTGCTACAATTCAGTCTGCTACTAAATAAGTAACCCCTAAAGATTCAAAACACAAACCTTTGATGCATCTGAAAACTATGTTCCTGTAACTAAGGAACTGCCCAACTGTGCTATAGTTTCATTGTCTGGATATGTTTAAAACATAGTGTGACGTGAAGGAAGGGGAAGAAGTTTTCAGGATTATACTTTTATCTGTACTACTAAACTTAACTATTAATTTAACACCTAGTTCAATTTAATTCCAGGCCCTCATTTGCTCAGTTACTTGGAGTAAATGTAAAGTGGATTTAGTGGCATTGTTTCAGATGTGCTGAATTAAACCAGGATGTGAAATCAGGATGTGGCCTAAACGGTAGTAAGTATAACGTATTTTTCCACAATTCTCTTTTCAATGCTTATTTCAGTTTATGCTGACAAATATTGCATGCTTTCTCTGCTTGTCTTTTTTTTCCACCAGATGTTTTGAAAAAAGGTATGGTTGATGTTTAGGCCTGATTTAATGATTTGAGTTTGGGAGGTTTTTTTCTTGTCTCAGCAACAGCAGAGTAGAGTTAGGATAGAGTTAGGATACATGATTATGTGTGAAAATAAATCAGTTCAGTTACTCTTTTGGAAAGGTGCTGCATGCTGCTCCTTGATGTGTTTACACATTAATTTATCACAGTTTCTACCACAAAGGCTTGCAAGCAGACTGCACATCTGCACCTTCCTTCTCACAGCACTCTTGAGCAGTGGGATTGTGGAACCAAACTGCTGTAGTACATCAGTCGTCTCAGTTGCAAGGCAAAGCCAACAC